TGCTGGAGCAGGTGGATCGTCTAGACTTGACCTGCCAGGGTTGCTAATGCTGGTGTGCAATGGTTAGTGCCCCTGTACAGGTGCAGCTGAGCTGGTGTTAACGGCAGTGGGAATTTTTAGGAAAAAATTCCTACCACAGATATGGCTAAAGAAACCTACTGGAGGGTTCCTCTAACAGTTTGTATTCAAGACTATTTTTGATCACCAGGGTATGTGAGCAAAGGTCCCAGCCATTATTCCATCATGCTAAGGGACAGGTGAGTTATAAAAACATTTGCTTTCACATGCTGGTTGTAACTGCATGTGATGTATTTATGCAGTTGATGTCCTTGTCCTTGGCTGTAGGACTTCATATTTATTAGTACTAATCCTTCCCTGGTTGCCTGCAGCTCTCATTGCTCTAATCGCTCCAGGTCACTTTGCAGTTTGGTTCCGTTCCCCCTGTATTTGCTTTTCCTCCAATTTTGGTATCTTCAGTAAATTTGGCCACAGATGAATGTGTGCGCACACGCACACACCGAGAGAGAAAAAGAAGACAGAGACTCTCTAAAAGTCTACGCAGAAACCCAAACAGATATAGGCAAAATTAGCACATTCTGTTTAAGGGGGGACCCTGCTTGAAGACTGACAGAACTGAAACACTCTAGGATAGCAAGGCTACCCTGGGTTTCACTAGTGCATGCTTCACTGTGACAGAAAATCCTCACAGAACCTTCTGCAAGTATAAGACGCAGAGGGATAGATCAGCGGTTCTCAGCCAGGGGTCTGGGGCCCCCTGGAAGGCTGCAAGCAGGTTTCAGGGGGTCTGCCAAAATAAACCAGAGAGCAGAGCTGGCATTAGACTCTTTGAAAGCCAAAGCCCCGCTGCCTGGGGCTGAAAGCCAAAACCCGAGCAACTTAGTTTTACAGGGCCCTCTGTGGTGTGAGCCTTGGGCAATTGCCCTGCTTGTTACCCCCTAATGCTGGCCCTGGCTTTTAATCTTCTGGATATGCAGAAAAACAATTGTGGCACAGGTGGGCCATGGAACTTTTATAGTATGTTGTGGGAGCCTCAGAAAGAAAAAGGCTGAGAACCCTTGCGATAGATGGAGTCATTCATCTGTAGTTCTGATTCAAATGTCATTCAGGTCCATGGTTGTTTGGTAGCTTATGTGAAATGAGTTGTTGGCTTCATTCCAGTTCCTACACAGGTGTCTACATTACAAAGGCAGTCAAGGGAGTAAGGCAAAGACTGAATTGGCACAGAGTCTTAACTATCATCTGACATTTAAAAGTATTTGGGGGTTCTGAGACCGTGAGGCGAATATGGTATTGCTACTGCTTGCTTTGAGGAAGGCTTTGGCCTGCAGGGCTGCCAGACCGCCTTTTATAGCCATTGAAATTAACTTTTAAAAAGGAAACTATATATATTGAGAAGACATGCTGAGAAGGGACAAATATATGAAAGATCAGTATCTTTTTTTCTTTAAATGTCTGTGCACAAATTTAGTGCAAATGAAAAAAACAAATGAAGGACTCATAGCCCTGAACTGCGACCGGCATAGTAAATGCAGGCAATACGTAAGATTCCCTATGCCAGTTTGCCAATATATTTCACTTTTAGTGCTGCCCTGCAACATCCCTGCTATTGCAAAGACTGCCAGTCAGCGCACAAAACTGTGTGGTAGATAAATGGAAATTAAAGTCAGCCACCAAACTCAGCCCCATCTGTGTCCAGAGAAAGAATTTAACCAAGAGGTGAAAAATTATATGGCCTGATCCAAGTCCCATTGAAATCAGTGGAAAGACTCCCATTACCTTCAGCGGGAGTTGGATTGGGGCCCATAGTTGGTATGTTCTGCTCAGGGATTAAAGTAAGGGAGGGCAGTGGAGCAGCACATCTCCCCTTTCTCTACTAAAAACGGTGTATGCTCCTCCTTGTCCAAGTGTTCCTCCTTGTCTGGTGCTGCTAAAAATCTAGAGAGTGCTCCCCCAACTCTGGCCATGTGGCAAGAGCCTCCTCTTTCAATTTACTTTACTTTAACCACAAATTCTACTCAGTTCACACATTTGCCCCACTTCTGTTGCAAATAACTGGATAGAATGTATCACATGCAACAGCTTTTTCTCTGTGACTAAACCTGGCAAGCAGCATTTTAAAATGAAGTAACAATATCTGTTTTTAAAGAATGCTTTATTTACTACATCCTAGGACCGTACCATAAATGGAGCAAGAACTAAATAAACTCAGAAGTTTTAAACAATACAAAGAACAGAGATATAGTAAAACACCCAAAATACTAGCACTTCTGAAAATGAGGCACGCTAATATATGTATATATTTATATATACATATATATTTCTTTATATAGTTTGTTCTTAACCTAAAAATGTTCACATTTCAAGTCATAAACTTACCTCAGTAGTGTACATGAAATGGTGGAGAAACAGGTATAAAGACAGACCACAGGTGCGGGGCTCAGAGATACCTAACTGACCGTACTACCAACTTTTGGCCCCAATCTTGCCATTGGAGCTGCTAGCACAGACCCCGGAGCCCATAAAGAGCCCCAGTCATCAAGGCCATTTGTTTTTAAGGTCTCTTGGTGTCTGCCACGTTAGGATATCATTTCCATCTTTATTTTTGTTGCACATAATATACAGGCATATGTAAAATACAGTAAGAACTCTAGTTGCTGTTTAAACTAAAGACCTTGGAATGGATCACGCCCTCTGCTTCTGCAAGCAGAGGAGACTTGGATTTGGGTGGATTCCGCTTGGTGGGCACAGAAATGGGGGCAGGGGAGTGATGGCTTCAACATTATCCCCCCCACCATCTCTCCACTGCTGGAACTTGCCAAGGTTTTGGTGGAGGAGCTGGGATGGGGTGAAGCAGAGTATCAACCCACATTCCATTGTATCATCCTCTGCTGACCCAATGGGTTTCTATGCAGCCATCCAGTCAGGTGTTGAAGCTGCATGAAGTGGCATTTACTCATGTTGAGTCTTATCTGTGGCCACTGCTTGGCATGAGATGACTTAGCCAAAGGCAGGAGAGGTGGGAACTATTTCCCACTTCTGCTGGGCTGGGCTTCTATTCCCCACTGATTCCCAGGAGAGATTGGTTTTGAAGGCTGCCCATTCCATGCAATCAAGCCCTTGGATAACACTCCAGTTGGGTTGGGCCTAAGGTCTAAGTGCGTTTTTGGAAAGGCTGGAACACGTGATAAAACTCTCCTGGGAAGGAGCATTGGGGGCAGAGTCTGATTAAATGGTTAACTTCCTCACAGTACTTTTGATAATAGTTAAATAGCATTAAATATAACAGAGTGTTGCTGAGTAAAAAACAGTGGCCCAACTTAAGTTGAGAAAATACATATTAGGTGGTCACTTATTTTAGTTAGATATGATCTGAAATTGTTGTCAGTGGGCAAAAGATACTTTTATTGTATGGACCTACAGTTGATTCTTAAATTAAAAAAGAAAGCAAAATTGTTTATTCACTACCCTATTGCACACCACACTTCATTAGAGTTGTCTTGGCAAAGCTGATGCACTTCATAAAGTGAGTGAGCTATTCCTTTGACATTTTACTGTATTTTACATTCACTGCATTAGTAAATAAAAGCCTTTAAACAGGCCACAAAACACTGCAATAATATATTTACTTCTTAATAAAACAAACTTTTTAATAACATTGAAATAAAATGTTTTTTTGTTTTGTTTTGTGGCAAACCACATACCATGTAAATTAGCAACATAAAATGACTTTAAAAATGTATATTAGAAGATATTTACAAACTCTATTTCTTAAATTCATAAGGGTATAGTCTCTGCCTTCCCTGATGTGCATGCATAACTCCAATTAACGCTAATGGGAATTAGGCGTGAAAGGGAGAATGGGAAGGAGGCTAGCCCCATTTTATTAAGTACAATATCACTAACACCCCTAGTACCTTAGAAATTTTGCATGAAACATGATGAAGCTACAGGTAAATAATGCAGTACTTCCTGCTGACAAAAGCACATTTGGCCCTGTCTAAGATATCATACATTCTCTGTCACTACTACTTACACTTCAAAAGAATAAAATAAAAAGAGCATTTAAAAAGAAACTAGGTTTTATACTGGAAGAAGATCTAAGTCAAGATACCTCTCATGAAATATTAGATACTCTGAGCATGTGCTCAGAGACTGAACTAGAAGTGACTTCAATAAATATAAAAGCCAGATGTTATGGAAAACACAGCAGCCTCTTCTTTAGCTAAAACGATTCACGTAATCATGCTTTAAAGAGGTTTGTTTTATGAGGTTGGTTTTTTTAAATAGATGTTTGTTGCCTGTGATTTTTGATAGTGATAAACGAACTGTACTAATGCCAGCACAAAATGCAGAGGTCTCGCTCATTTTCAAATTGCACTTTCCAGTATAGCTTTTTAAATAAGATACTTGTTGTTTTAAACAAAAACAAACAAAAATCTATTGTATGTATTCTTTAAATATTGAAAATATTCTTCAAAATATATTGTTTATACATTTCCTAGCTGCTCAGATGTACTTTTTTTTTAATATATATATAGTTGATATATTATTAAAGGCACTACAAAATAGAATTCTCTGGAGTGCAGAAGTTACTAAAAATAACCTTCATACCACAAATATATTGAAAATATAATTGCTTAAAAAACAAAACAAAAACCCAACCAAAAAACCCCTATGCAATCCCACTACTGTGTATAAATTTGTATAGGCAATGGGCTTAATGCATGTAGGTCACTTAGAAATGTATGAATACAGGTATGTTAAATTTTAAAAATATCCTAAAAAATTAGTGAAAACGTCACATATATAAAATATTTCAAACATAATATTTGATAACATTCTTCACTTTCAGGTTTTTTTCAGTTTACTGAGTCCAAACATATTCTTTTGCAGTAGGTTCTTTCTTCATAAATAGTAAAGTGTTCCTTCAGTGTTTGTCCCTCCCCTCCCGTCCCCCCACCCCTCACCCCCCACTGTTTGATAGTCTCAGTATGTCTGGTAGACATCATGTATTGGAACCTGGATTGTTGCAGTAGGAAATGCCTGAGGTATATACCCGGCATATCCTCCATAAGCTGCTGCTGCTGCTGCAGCTGCTGCTGCGTTCTTCTGTAGTGTGGCTATAGTTGCTGTTGTTGCAGCAGGAGCTGCAAACGGAACATAACTTGCACCATAAATCCCTGCAGCAGGAATTCTCTGAATATTTGGAGCCATGGTGTACACTGGAGTTATGGGGCGACCCTGGGGACAAAAAATTGGCATTTAACGTTCCAACTCACAGATTTTATCCAGTCCCTAGCAATCTAATCTACTAGGCTGAGTATAATTATTTCACACATTAAAAAACTGAAGTGAATCCTTCAAAGTTAAGGAAGGATGATCTTGTGGTGAAGGCATAGGACTGGGAGTTAGGAGACTGTGGATTTGATTCTGCTAGCAAGACCAAGGCTGTGGGCCTGTAAGGGTAGAGACAGCACGTCATGGGTGATGGGGGGGGGGGGGGAGGCAAACCAGTGAAGCCATGTGCATTACCTGCTCTTCCAGGGGACCTGGAACCAGCAAGCACAGGCCAGAAAGTAGGCAGGGCCAACTGTGGAGGGAGGGAGCTAGAGCACAAGGGTGATGTCACTTTTGTCTTTGACTCTCTCTGGCTCCTCAGCTACTATTACAGATTTCTGAAGGCAGAGACAAGAACTTTAAATTTAACATATTACTGCTCCTTCCCATTTATCCTCTCGTCAAACTTCGTGTTGCCCCTCACCTCCTCTGCTCCACCAGTGTTCCCAGCCTTGTCTCCTCATTTTCAGCTGCCCACACGGTCACTTTCATGTCTTCTTCCACATGGCCCTTATGCATGGTTCAACCTCCCCATCCATATATACATCCCTCTTAAAGATGCATTTTTTGCCACATGGCCCATAGTGAATCTAGCTGACTTGTATACAAAAAGACAACTCCCTAAACTCTGTCTACATTTCTGTCTTTCCTTGAGCACTTCAGGGAAAGGACTGTCCCTTCTCGAATGTCTCAGATATCTCCCAGGTAGTTTTCGCCAGTAGGGCTTCTGTGGAACTCCAAAGGTAAGCTGAAACTGCTTTCCTCTGCTGGAGGCAGCAGCGGTACCACTGCCTGCCTTCACCTAAGGGTACATTCCCCACTCTGGTACCACTGCCCTTGCTGGTGCAGGAGGTGTCAGTTCTCTCAGCACCCATAGGGGCAAATCAAGTTTCTGGGCTCTATTCCTAGCTGTGACACAGGACAGGTCATCGGGCCTCAATTCTGTAAGATGGGTGTAATAATACTTTTCCTAACCCATTGCTTGTTGTGGGGCTAAATTCATTCATGCTTGTGAAACATCTGAAATTCTTGTATAGAAGGTGCTATTGAAGTGCAAAGTATTATTAATACCTCCCCTTGTCCCTGTTCACCTTCTGAAATCTCACGACTTGTTTCCAAAGAGCTTTGCAGATCAGTGATATGGCAACAAGTTTACTTAGATTGTAAGCTTTTTGGGGGCAGGGAGTCTTTTTGTTTTGTGTTTGTACAGCTCCTGGCCCAGGATGGGGCTGCAGGACAAATAAGGAATAATAAAAAGGAAGGCATTTGTTTTGCAAATGTTACTGTGCCCAAAGAGTCTGTCACAATGTAATTACACAGAGTAACTCTGGAGCTGTAGTAGCCTCAGAGTGTCATTTTTTTTCACTATTAACATAATAAATGGAATGGAACTACAAAAAAAAAGTCAATATGTCATATCAAAATAAACCCTTACAGATCCAGCCAATGCCATAGCGTGGGTGACTTTCCCATGAGAGGGTTTCAGGATGGATTCCCATCCTGGTTTCTTGCTCCCTGACTGGACTGGCACTGCTACCGAGGCAACACCAACAGCCTTTTAGGGAAGCACTTCAGCACTATCAATAGAGAATATCCAGTCAGTTATAGGAATGATGCTAGCAGGCTTCAAAGGGTGAGCTATGTATTTCTTCTTGGTAGTAATGGCATGTGAAGGTTGGTGTGGCTAGAGCAATAAAAAACAAAACAAAACACCTCAAGCTGAGAAGGGACCTGGGGTTGTGTCTAGTCCCACATGCACAAAAGTGGCAAAACAGTTTTTTTTTTAATGTTATGTATGTCCAGTTTCCACTTGCTGAACTAAAGACTCCCCAAAATAAGTGCTGAAAGTGCCTTAGCTGTATTTTGTTGTTGAACATGAATTCTCTCATCCTATGTCAGACTTAAGAGCTTTTTACTATTTGCAAAGATCTTCTTAATTGTTGCAATTACACATTGTACTGCTATAGCACCTTCCATTAGAGGATCCCAAGGTGCTTTAGAAACATTACAGAATTTATTCTCACAATACTCTGGGGAGATAGAGAAGGGTAATTATCACCATTTGACAGATTGGGTAAGTGAAGTACAGAGTAGTTAATGTTGCACAGCAACTCTGTAGTAAAGCCAAGGCACGAGTAGAATTGCTTCTACCTGTGCTTTAACTACCTTCCTTTTTCTCTGTGGCCAATATGCTCTCCGGCCCTGTGCTATACGGGGAGGAGAAAATAAATTAAAATGAGATGGAAAAAGACCCCAAACTGAAGAGGGAGCCAGTGTTGCAAGTTTCTCAACTCTTCCCCCTGCAAGCCCAAGGAGACCCTAGCATAGCATCAGGGCACACAGTTCTGGCAGAGGCATGTTGAGGCTGTGCAGTAGCACTCCAGCTCTACACAGAACACTCCTTTTGAGATTTAGCTAATCTGTGCAATAGTTAATGTGACTCCTACTTTATCTGTTTGGGGCTAAGTGATTTACTGCAGTGTGAGACAACTGTCAAGGTAGGGCTGTTTTTTTTAGTCTAATAACTAAACAATCTCCTTTTAAACTGCAGCATGGCAAGAGGCCAGGGTTTCAATGTACCAAGATAAGCTTAGCAAGGACTGCATGCTGAATTTACCTGAAAAGGTGGAGGGGTTGAAACTGCAGGTATAACAGCTGCTGCTGCTGCTGCCGCTGCTGCCGCCACACTAGCTGGATCCTGCTGGACAGCAATGGGATTGATCATATGTTCCACTGCGTGGATTTTGCCATCTTCCATCATCTTGGCTGCTGGAGCTGCCTGAAACATGGAGTACTGGGCTCCAATAGCAGGGATTGCCACTAGAACAGACCACATACACAAAAACATATTGGAGTTGCATCTACAGTGCTTTCTTTCCAAGGTAAAAGAAACCTCTCTTGCTAGGTAATTTACACCACGCTCATCACTGTGATATACAACATACAAGGTCTTAGGGGTGCTTCTCAATTCATTTGTTAATTACTATAAATATTTCAAGGTGTGCTCATGGACTCAGTACTACAATTTTGTATGTACTGCATAGTTTTCAAACACTTTTATCTCAATGGGCTCTTAAAGCAGGACCCCCATGAGGGTCACACTGAAAACTTGTCAGGAAACTTGAAGGCTACATCAAATTTACAGAAATCTGTTCAGATTACAGTTGTCCTCATCTAGTGGCCTAAGGAGATGATAAGTTTGAGCATGCAGGGCTCCATCTTGATCTTAGTTACTGCCTCTGAGATCAAGGTGGGAGTATTGCATGCTGGGACCCGAAGTTTCCATAGGCAGAATTGCTGTATGAAAAGAAGAGTGTGATTTGTATTGTGTAACTCTGTGGGTAGCAGTTGGCCGATAGGCTTCACTTTGGCCAACTCTGCACTATAGTTACTTACTGTAGTATATTTTTCTGGCTTAATTTAGCTGCACATATTTCATCACATCTTTCTGCTTGACTCTGGTTTCAGTTTATTTATTTAATTAAAAAAAACCTCTTACGCCTTTCTTCTCATGTCAAAAAGCAGGTAACTTGCAATAAATAGAAGAACCGGGGGAAAGAGCTATGAACAGTGAGGGTTATACATGCAAGGCCTGTGAGTCTGTACACATTTCTGAATGGAGTTTGGCTGCATTGCTTAGGAAGCAAATTTGTCCTGCTGAAAATCTCCAGCAGTCACATGTGTGATTCTGTGTGTTCCTCAAAATGTACAGTCAGCTTTTGATTAATTAACATTTCAACAATAAATTTATAGATAACTGAATGACTACTTATAATTACAGATGGCTGGAGGAGGTGATGTTTGGATTGGGATCTGAATTAGCTTTACCCAATGGATCAGATCTGAAGCCAAATCAAGGTTTGGCTTCAATGGTGTTGAAATCTTGCAAGAGTTTATTCCAAACTGGCAGAAATCATGTGAGATCAACAGTTCTGTTTCCCACCATTTTGGTTTAAAAAAAAAAAAAAAAACTTCACAAGAACACCTCTTTTTATACGATTTTGAGCACACGTTGACAGGAATCAGAAATTAGTCCTTTCCATTCAGGTACTGGAACCAGTACCACAGGGGCAGGTTAGGATCTAGGGATTTTATCCAAACCTTCCTAAAATCTGGAAATATGTGAACTCAAGAGTCTGCTTCTGGCCTGTCTCTGAAGTTCTAATAAATTAGATACTGTCAATAAATATTTACTAGGCAAGAATATAGTGTGTATATCAAAAATCATTTTTCAAATAGTCTTTAGAAATACCTGAAACTCCTAAGCTGTATTCACAATTATGAAGGGTGGGAATGCTCTCTCTGAGAACTGACATTTTGCCCAGAGAGTCTGAGGATATAGGTTAAATTATCTCAAATCTTTCTTTGAAAACAGACCTCGTCTTTGAAAATCTACTTTTGTCATGCAAATACTAAGCTGAATGCCTCTTTTCTCAAACTACATCATCAAACTGTCAGGATGGCATCTTCCTTTAGGAGTGTTCATCTTTTTTTATTTTATTTAAGATAAGTGCATATCTTAAAAGTGATTTCCACTTATTTGTAATTGATTATTAGAGTATTTCATAATGTTACAACTACAATCAAGTGCATTTTTACTGTAACATCAGTGGTGTTTTATTATTAGTATGTCTCTTACAATTATGATTACACTGTAGGGCGAGGACATGATTCCTTTTTTCAGTGGCTCACTCTGGTCACTTGAATGTCGATTCTACCTCATAATATTTAGCCCAAACAGAAGTCTATTCAAACAGGGTCTTGCGGACTTCCACAACTTCATTCTAGCCACTACCATTTTCTCCTATAAACACCAAGGGCTAGATTCTCAGCTGCACCCAGCTTCCACAGGCTGTTGCTAAGGGGGTGGTAGAAAGGAACTAGTTGCTGTTCCCTGATCTTGTGGCTGGTTCTCCACTTGACCCAGTGTAACTTAGAACAGCCTAGAGGCTGTCCTAAAGTTTGTCAGCTAGTAATAGCACCTAAGGGGCTATCTGCCAGCCAGGAATTGCTGGAGCACTGTGTGATCTGGCTATCCCATTCCTGCTCTACCATAATCCTAAACTGGAGGCTCCAGAAAGGTGGCATAGAAACCAGTGCTGCCAACTCTGTGCCAGCTGGGAACTCTCCCACACCAAGGAAATCCTCACATAGGGAGATTTGCCTGCTTCCCAACCCCTTTGTCTTCTAGATGTCTGTAGTCGGGGCCAAAGTCACCCCGATGTAATCACTAACATCAAAGGAGATAAACAGGGAGGAATGTGACCCCTAGTCTTCAGTCTCTAGCAAACAGAGCAGCAGCCTCTGAAACCAGCAGCTGTGCTGCTATATGGTTAGACCCAGAGAGGACGCCTAGGTGTGGGACTATCTTGTTCCTTTGGCCTGTGGAGCCCACACAAGTGAGCATAGCTAGTAACCCTCAGTGAGTGGTGCCGGAAAATGCATTTGCTGCCTCACATTTGTAGAGAGGATGGTGATTGTTAGATTTGAATAGAACAGTTGGCCAAACTCAGCAGGAAGAATACAGACCTACTGGTCCCAGCCATAAAAATATCCTAAGTATCACCACAGCTGGTTGGGTGGGGTGTTAATTTACCCAAGCCAATCTGAATCTAAAAAGTTCAAGCTCAGTTCAAAGAACAGGCTGAATTTCAAGCCTCTTTATTCTCCCCACCCACCTCCCAACAGGTTTGCCCAACCTAGTAATTATACTAACCTGCACCAGGTTTAATGGTAACTGGATTGACAGCAGACAACTCCAAATTGGGTACAAGCTCATATCCTTTTTCTTGCTGTTTTCCTTTCCCTTCGTGGTATCTGCTATATATGCCACGGCCTGCAGAATATCCCCCCAGATAAGAGCCTCTGGGGCCAGGGGCTCTGTTGCCAGCTGCACCTCGCCCTCTGCCTCTTATGCTGCCTGCTTATAATAACAACATAACAAAATGAGGATGAATAACACAGTAACAGCAATGGGGGAAATGCTTAACACCCCCACATATAGGCATTTGGATAGTAATAAGCTTGCTGAAGTTAGAATAGCTGAATTTGAATGACTCTGCTCTTGAAAACAAAGGGAATCTTGCTCGAATCAGGAATGCACAATCAGACAACGCATTTTCTGTTGTTCGTAGTACTATTCCTTGCACGACTAGATTTTAGTGGTTTAGTTCAGACTTTGGTATTCTCTGGAATTTATTAATAATGTTGAATTTATATCAGCAATTTCGCACATGTTACTATTGTGCTTTTGGTCCTGTGATGTAGTGGTAGTTTTATGACAGGTTGTCTGGGTATTCAGACCAGGGGTGATGGAATTTTCCTAAAAGCGGGGGGAGAGGGCATGAGGCCCCACCCCTGCCCATGGCCCCACCCCTGCCCCTCCTCTTCCCCCCCCCCCCAAGCCCTGTCCCCTGGCCAAGCCGGAAGCCAGAGCCAGGCTGGGGAACCCAGGCCCCTCCACCTGCTCGGGGTGAAGGGCCCTAGAGTAGCCCCCAGCCCGTGTCCCCACCTTCTGGGCCTCCCTCTGAGGACAGATGGAGGGTCCGCAGCTCCCCACAGCTGCACACATGGCTCTTACCCTGACTTGGCTTTGGCTTCTGGCTTGGGGGCAGGGCCTCGGGGGCCGATGAGCTGCAGCCAAGCCATGGTAAGAGCCACCCAGGCAGCTGTGGGGAGCAGGGGACCTGAGGGGCGGGGACATGGGCTGGGGGCTGCTTTCAGGGCCCTCCACCTCAGGCAGGGTCTGCAGCTCCCTACAGCTGCCGAGGCCCTGGGGGGGAAGAGGAGAGGCAGGGGGCTGGGTCTGTGGCAAAAAGTGGGAGGGCCATGGCCCCTTGCCTGCCCCCTGTTCTGGTGCCTCTGATTCAGACATGCAATTAACTGATTCCTAGTGCAGAAATAGTTACAGATATAAATCCGGAGATTGAGTTGAGGCTGGAACTTTTGACCAGTTAGGGTTTACAAATATTTCTGTATTTATATAGGTGGTAAAATAATAAGATCATGCTTATTGTTAAACTGAACTTGGCTGGAAAATACATTTTCAGAATTTCAGTAAATTATATTCTCTGTAATGATAGTACAAAACCACTTGCAATTACAAATGTCAGTTATAATTGTTGGAATTTAAGCCGGAATGATTAATTTTTTGGTTAATTTTTAATATATAGAATTCAATAACAATTAAATTCCAATAATAAGAAAAATACTTCTAACTTATATAGCACCTTTCATCAACAGATCTCAAAGCTTTTCATAAAGGAGGGTACAGTATGATCAGTTTTTTTTACAGATGCAGTAACTGAGGCATAGATAGTTATGGCTAAGGTTTTCAAAGGCATCCTGTAATTTTGGGTGCCCATTTTGAGACACCTACGATCTGATTTTTCAGAGCACCCAGCGCTGAAGTCAAAGGGAGGTGCAGATGTACAACACTTTGGATAATTAGACTCAAGAAGTCTGGTACTCAAACTATAGGAAACTTCTGTTACTTGCCCAGGGTAATACAACAGTAATAGAAGTCAGATCTCCTGACACCCAGTCCTGTGTTCTGTCCACTAGTGCACCCCTACCTTACACCTGTCTTAGAAAGGGATTGTCAAAAGAAAAAATATCTTCAATATACTAGCATTAATAAAGTAACAGAGTATAATTATGATGAACTGTGCTGCAAAAGTAAGTTCAGAAAAATGTAAAACATGTCAGCTGTTACCTATTTAAGACAGATTCATGGCCCCTCCTTGAAAGCAGAGCTGGCAATAATGCCCCCTAATTATATCATGTTCAACTGTGCTTACTAACCTTTCACAAAGTAATCTCGATTGGGACCGATGAGAGCATTGTATGGATATCCATAATACGCTAGTGTGTATGGATCGCAAGAGTAAACATAGTTGGGTTGCTGAGTTACTTCTGTTGTTGTTGTTGCTCCTCCTTTAGCTGCTTTCTGATAACGAGTGTACTGCTCTTTGTCTACTGGTTTGGCCAAGGTAACTTCCAGGCATGAGCCTTCAAGTTCAGTGCCATTGAGGTTGTTCATGGCGTGAACTGCGTCTTCCCTACTTGTAAAGTGCACAAAGGCATAATCGCGTATTTTTTTAACCCGTTCTACGCAGCCAGGGTTAAACTGGCCAAAGATCTTTTTAATTGTATCCTCTGTGGTTTCAATCATTAAATTCCTCACATACAGGATTTTAACAGTCTCCATTACATCTTCATCAACATCTATCTCTGGTTCTGCCCAATCAACAGCAATCTGGTGGCCCCACAGTTGGATTCTCCCAGGCATCAGCTTTCTCCTCGCCATTGCGGCCGCTCGATGGCTTTCATACTCCACAAAGGCGAAGCCTCTATTTTTCATCTTGTCTGCTGCACTCGCATACACAATGACATCTAGCACGCCCTCTGTCACCTTGGAGATCTCTTCTAGTATTTCCTCTCTCTTCTTCATCTTGGGTATACCTCCAATGAACAGCCTACAGTTATCCACACTGCAGCAAACACCTAGAAGCCTACCAGGACGGATTTCGTAGTTGTTCAGTTCTCTGACGGCACGTTTGGCTTCGTGCTTGTGTGTGTACATAACAAAAGCATAGCCCCGATTTTTCCCATCAAAGTCCATCATCAGGCGCATTTCATAGATACGTCCTACGGACTCAAACACAGGCACTAGCTCGTCTTCGTACACATCACGGGGAATTTTACCAACAAAGACTTCACAGCCACGAGGAGGGTGCAACCCCTCCCAGCCAGGTGGTGGCCCGCCATACTTGCGCTGCCCATTCTCTTGAATCATGGTATATCCAGTACGCTCCATGAGTGCCAACAGAGCAGCCTCATTAGGTGCACCAGCAACACCTTCGGGAACTTTGGTTGTAGACATGTTGGAGGAGTCGTTACTCATCCTAGCAGTGGAATCCTCAGCTGTCATTATGTCAAAATCATTCAAAGTGTGATGAAACCTAAACAAAGAGAGGGGAAAGGAGGACATTAATTAGCTGTTGTTAACATGACAGGAATCTGACTCTTTTCTGCAGTTTATGTGCAAGTTTATTTTTCAAGATCAGGACAACTATTAAATACAAAAACATAAAAATTAAATAGCAAAATATACTCTCCTGCATGCAGTGGATACTGGCCCAGGAAACTCCCTGAGATGAGTTTCCTTCAAATCTTCCCCTCGTATGAGAGAATCTAAAAGGGGCTATGGAGGAAGGTGGTGGTCCAACTTCCCATGAACTATTTAGGTCTTGTTCTTGCACCCTGTCCGTGCAAAATTCCACTCTGAGGTGAGTATAGGCATGTAACCTGGGTGAATGCTGCTTCAAGTAGTTACTTGGACTATGTCTACATGAGAGCTTACAGCAGCGCAGCTGTACCAATGCAGCTGTGCCGCTGTAAGATCTCTCATGTAGCTGCTCTATGCTGGCGGGAGAGAGCTTTCCTGTTGACATAATTAAATCACCCCCAATGAGCGGCGGTAGCTATGTCAGTGGGAGAAGCTGGTGTAACTTATATCGCTCAATCGCTTATATCGTTGTTTTTCACACCCCTAAGCAACGTAAGTTTTACTGACATAAGTGGTAGTGTAGACATGGCACTCGATGCAGATAGCTTCTGCCACAGGAGGGAAGGATACCACGGAGAACAGCGGCCACCTGGATCCTCAAAACCCAATGGAGCCTGATCTTCTGGTAAAAAGGGGCTACTGCTGGATCAGAAAATGAGAGTGATCCTACAGAACCAGCACTCCCCATTTCCATGGTTCCCAGCTGGAATCCTTGCTATCAGTGTACCCTATATTCATGATCAATTAGGTATTAAGTAATTTTACAGCAAAATATGGACAAGGCTTATTAAACACTGGAAGCAGTACTTGTAAACTAAGAACTTCCAGGTTTCTGTGGACTTGCAGAATAAAATCTGAAATGGAAATAAAACAATTTTAACGTGGTTTATGTAAAGAACGGTTTTGGTCCCCTTGCAGTAATCTGGTAAATTTAGATGAGATTCCTAGTTGCCAGTTGAGTTAATTGTTTTTGTTATGGTGTCTAACACATTTGTCTTCTTTAGTAAATTAATTAATTACTTTACAGAAGCTGAAAAGAATAATTCAGGAATTACAGATAAAATCTTCAATTACAAACCAGCATTAATTGCCCACTTCACCTTGTATGTTTCCTTAGAATATGTGTTAACTACTTATGCTAAACAATCTGTTCCACCTTGTATTTAGCTGTGGCACCTTTCCCAGACCTGAGGAAGAGCTCTGTGTACCTCAAAATCTTATCTCTTTCACCAACAGAAGTTGCTCCAATACACAATGAGCACAGTAAAGCTACTGGAAAAGGAAAAGCAGTTTATGAAATTTTGTTCTGTATCCAAGTAGAACACCAGTGAGGGAGGTACTGTCTGTCTACTTCTTGAGATAGTCTTGCCTCAAAAAGAGGATAGAAATGCTAACTGCTACTACAACTGAGTGCTAATGATGATTTTCCTCTAGCTCAATTAAAAGAATAGTTGCTTTTGGATTTTGAAGATCACTGATGCATAGATATTAAAGACAGAAGGGACCATTAGATTATTTAGTCTAACCTCTTGTATACCACAGACCATTACATTTCACCGAGTCGTCCCTGTATGGAGCTAAATAACTTATGTTTGGCTAAAGCATAACTTCCAGAAAGGCATCCAGTCTTGATCAGAAGACATCAAGAGATGGAGAATCCATCACTTGCCTTGGTAGTTTGTTTCGCTGGTTAATCACCCCTTGCTGTTAAAAATTGTTCCTTATTTCTAATTTGAATTTGCCTGACTTTGGCTTCCAGCCATTGATTCTTATTCTCTACTAGATTATAGAGTTCTTTAGTACTTGGTATTTTCTCCCCATGAACGTACTTATACACACAACCTCTCACTCTTCTTTTTGATAAGTTTAACAGACTGAGCTCTTTAAGTTCCTCACAATAAGGAATTTTTTCCAGCCCTTGAATAATTCTTGTGACTCTTCTCAGCACCCTATTCAGTTTTTCAACGTTCTTTTAAAAATGTGGACACCAGAACTGCATACAGTATTCTAGTATCTGTCTCACCAATGCCATCTACAGAGGTAAAAACACCTCACAACTCCCCTGTTTATAAATCCAACCATCCCATTAGCTTTTCTTGCCACAGCACTTCACAGGGAGCTCATATGAGCTGTTTGTCCACTATGCCCCTTAAATTTTTCAGTCACTACATTCTAGGATATTGTCCCCCATTATGTAGGTACGGCTTGCATCCTTTGCTCTTGGATGTATCACCTTGTATCTGGCTGCATTAAAACACATTTTGTTTGAATGGGGCCAGTTTATGAAGTGATCCAGATTGCTCTGTATGACTGCTCTGTCCTCATCATTATTTATCTTTCTGCCAAACTTTGTCATCTGCCAGTTTATATTCCAGATCATTGATTAGGGTTACCATATGTTGTGCCTCCAAATGGAGGACACTCCATGGGGCCCCGGCCCCGCCCCCACCCCCGCCCACGCCCCTGCCCCAACTCCGCTCCCTCCCCAAAGTCTCCGCCCCCTCCCCTGCTTCCTGCGAACATTTGATTCGCGGGAAGCCTGAAGCAGGTAAGGGGGAGTGTGGGGGGAGG